TGTAGCCTAAAACTGCTGCTATTTACAGTCAGTGATGTATCTTTCTCATGGAAATGGTCCCGCCCATTGTAAATCAAAACATGATTGGTTGCTCTGTCACTGATCACACTGTGCTGTTAATACATACATATATATATGTAAAAAAATTAAAAAAATTAGGGTTTTTCTCTGACTTTTGCAGAGTACTGTAAATTTATGCCTATGTGTGTGAGTGTGCATTTTCTGAATGCATGCTTGTGTGTGTAAGTGAGGGTGTGTTTGTGTGTGTGTGGTTTATCTTATTTTCTCGGTGTCTCTTGTTCCCTTTATCTCCAATTCTCTCCTTCTCCACTGGAGTAAAGACATTACACAAATGGCCTGGGGGAAGAGCACTCTTATGCTGTCTGTATGTGTGTGTGTGTGTGTGTGTGTGTGCGTGCATGTGTGTGTACATGTGTATTGAATATCAATAAAGCTCCGCTCTCCAACAGCCTCACGTTGCATGCTTGAGGGTTTGGCTCTCCTCAGACCAAAGACACTCATTAATTTGTTCATCCATTCATTCATTCTTGTCTTACAAGAAGAAAGTTGCTTTGCAGCTATAATGCATGCACATACTGTAAAACACAACAAAACAACAAAACCTAGTAAAAAAACTTTGCATCTCTGGAAGAAAAAAGTGGTCTTAACTTGAATGAACTGATATAGTTGGATTCTGGATTATTTCTATTGGCCCATTATTATAAAATGTTCATATAATGTGAAAGGCAGCTGGTGTTTTCAAATAACGCAAAAAACAGATTTTGATATGACAGTGACAATATAAAACATTAAACCTATAAAATATTTTTTAAAATTTTCACTGGATTTCACTGGAGTTTGGGAAGGTCAAAAAGGCAGAAAGACAATATAAATCACAGAATAAGCTTAAAAATAAGATATTTTAATGAAGAAAACCAAGTGTATAAGTGTAATAAACCCCTTTCTGGGTCTAGCTCTGTAACGAGCGGGGCAACTCACAGTCGTTCTCAAACCCCAACTAATCAAACCCAGCTAAAAGCAGTGCAGAAAAGCGAGACAGCGAGGCAATGAGTTTGGCGGAGGTTGCCATGGCAACCGGCTGTACGGCCGCTGCTCAGTTACCATGACAACCCCACCCCGAAAATAAGTCTTCCAGAGATGCAGACGCTCTGACAGGAACTCAGAACTGGCTTCAGACAATTAAATTCACCTGTTGCTTCTGTTGGGTGTGTGTGTGTTTGCGTGTGTGCATGTGTGTGGTGTAGTTCATTTAATTCATGGAGCCGCCAAGCCTAGCCTGCGCTATATAATGCATACATTAGAGATGTTCACTTGATGCGATTCAAAGTCTCAAGTATTTAGTAGAAAATTTTGTTTAATCCCTTTACTAGCTGCAGGCATCACACTGTACAAAACACCAACTAAAACCTGTCAGGTTCAACACGGCTTTAAACAAGCCTTTCATTATGGGAAAACACAGGTGTCAATCTCGAGAGACAGTAACCCTTATATTCACAGCTTCCACACTGTATAAATTCACTGAGACATGTACACTACATTACTACTATTAAAATTGTTAGCAACAACAGTAATTTTTCCAGTTTTAATTTTCTTTACTGTGATATATTCACCTGGGAATTATACTAATTATCTCACACAATCAGAAACTTTTTATTTTGTTTGAAAGTTAAACAGCTGAACATTTTCTTGGCTAGAGGTAAATCCTAGGGTTGGGATGTAACAGAATACAAGTACAGGGAACGCATATTCAGAATACAGAAATTCAATATCATTACATAATTTCAACATATTTTACAAGTTACATTTTGTTAAGGCAGTATTTGAAACAAGATTACCTTTTCAATTTTTAGGAAAACACTTTTAGAATTTTTACCCACTAAATTAAAAAAAAGCATATATCATCTTTAAAACAAACACCATCACTGCTTTTTTTTTTTACTATTCTGAAATCATTGCATGGCATTTAAAGGTGCACTCTAAAAAAGGCTTCTTTACATACACTGAAGTTGCGGCTAAAGCCTCAATAGACTTACAAATCAAAGTGATCAAGTTATTTATCTCAGGGTTAGTGAGCTCTGTTAAAGCCTGAATAGACTGATAAATCAATATAATGATCAGTTATTTATCATAGTGTTACTGAGCTCTTTTAAAGCCCGAGTAGACCGATAAATCAATGTGATGATCAGTTATTCACTTCAGTGTTAATGAGCTCTTTAAAAGCCTGAGTACAGTGATAAATCAATGTCATGATCAGTTATTTATCTCAGTGTTAATAAGCTCTGCTAAAGCCTGAGTGCACTGATAGATCAATGTCATAATCATTTATTTATCTCAGTGTTAATAAGCTCTGCTAAAGCCTTAGTACAGTGATAAATCAATGTCATGATCAGTTATTTATCTTAGTGTTATTGAGCTCTTTTAAAGCCTGAGCAGACTGATTATTCAATGTGATGATCAGTTGATTACGTCAGTGTTACTGAACTCTGTTAAGCCTGAGTAGGATGATAAATCAGTGTGATCAGTTATAAATCTCACTGTTAACTTCTTTGAGGCATGATTGAGCTGAACAGTCTCCTCAGTAGTGGATATGTTCACAAGTAATATGCTTAACATCAGTGTTGTACTTGACTTACACATGTGTTTCTTGGCAGGTTTTGAAAATCACACAGATACCCACTTTACAATCAAATTTGCAAGATTTAGTTCTGAGCTGCAAGAGAACAGCATTGCAGTAATGACTGCAGGGAAAGTCACGTAGTTTGGAAATGAAAGGTTTCCAGTTTAACCAGTTTTGTTTGTTTTTGTTCTTTTCCTCAAGCTAAAAAATTCATATTTGTTTTTTAGTTGAGTTGCAAGCCAGCCATTAAAATATTTTTTATAGTATTCATCTTCGCAGTAAGTTAAAACACCATATAGGATTGTAATAAATACAAATAAACACAAGGACGTTTTTTTCCCTTCTCCAGTATTGTTCCAGAGGTTTTCTTATGACAGCAATGTTATATAGGCACTAATTCAATGGGCACCAATTCACTTACTGCTGCACAGCTGTGTGAAAAAGACAGAATCACATACAGACTGATGAAGCCAAAAAGCAAATGAATATGTATGAACTAATTATCAGCCAACTCTAAATTTGGAAACAGCATGCCAAACACCCGTATGTTCACTTTCTGCAGCTTCATCTGACTGTACGTGAGTATCTATAGTAGAACATCGCACGTCCTGCAGGTTTTCATTCATAACCAGTGTGTTTAGTTGGGATGTGTTAGACCACCACAGTAGTGGAGGTGTGATGTGTGCATTTATCAGCAAGGTGTTAATATAACGTATGAAAGCAGCAGTAAGGATTACAGTAGGAGTGGTTGTGGTGTTTATGTGTTTTGGACGCACATGTTTATGTGTATTATCCAAGAAGTGGAGTACCTACTGATCAGTCGCATAGAACTGTAGTAAGAATGAATAATTAAAAAATTATTAGACAAGAGTTGGGCTGTACTCAAAACAGTAGTAGGGCATTAATTACTGTATTATGTACACTAGTCTGTGGTTTTGGATACGGCCTTGGTGTATCTGTGATACAATAGCTGTATTTGTATCTGTGTTTTAAATCTTATTTATCACTAGGATTACACACTGTGCCTTTAAGAAACAGGCTGAAACACTGCTTATAACTTCAGTTTGAACTGGTGGAGCTAAACTGCTGTTGGCTGTATAGGTCGCTATTTATAAAAGTGAAATCACAAAAACATTTAGTTCAGTAGGTGGAAGTGCTGCAGTCAAGTCATTAAGTATTACATACTAAGGCTTATTATTCATTAACTACAATCTCAGAAATAAAGGTACTAAACTGTCACTGGGGCAGCACCTCTCTTGTCACTGGGGTGGTACCCTCAAAGGTCCATCTCAGTACCTTTAGTCAGAGAACATAATTGTTCCATAAGTTGTATTGATTCCACACACCCGTCTTGTCTCCAGGCTTTTTATAATATTGTTCTGTTTTAAAACATTGCGTTATAAATATGTACTTTTCACCTGGAAAAACTTATTTAAGGTGCACAATTAGACCTTAAAACCACCTGTTGTACCTTTGAGAGAACATTTACATTGTTTGCACCTTGAATGAATGAAAAATGTACCTGCACAGAACCTTTATTTCTAACAGTGTGCAGGGGCTTCAATACAAACTAGTTGAGCTATTCTTAGTTCATAGAAGTGTGTAATAAAACTTGGGCCTGGCAGGCCTTGGCCATTTTGGGTTTAAGGATATTAACAGGAAGTTTGCCCCTACCGACCACCCTTTGCTTCAGTAAAAGCCTCTAGATTGTTTTACACTAGATGTTGTAACATTGCTTTAAGGATTTGATTGCATTCAGCCACAAGAGCACAAGTGAGGTAAGGTACTAATGTTAGATGATTAGTTCTGGATGACAAACTTCATTCAAACTCATCAAGGTACTGGATGGAGCTCTGTTCTCACTATAGAGAACATATTTTCACTATTACACAGCTCAGTGATAGGGGGCTGTATAACCGTTCTTAGCACTTGGCAGGGCTTTTATATGGGGATTACACAAGCTATGTATGTGAACAGTTGAACTCCACTCTCAGCAATGGGTGGATCCTAAAGTTACTGAATTCACTCATTAGAAGGGCTAACCAATAGGAAAGCTTGCTCAGTTGTATCTACCTAGATACCACAGAGAAAAAAACGATTCCTGATTGGCCAATTTTCCACTGAGTATTTTAAGAATTTAACTCTTCTGTATCTATCTTGGAAGCTTTCAATCATGCAGTGTATGTTTTCCAGCTGGAGTTATAATGTGCCATTGCAGGACTGGACAAACTGAAGTAAATATGTTTTCAGAAGGTGCTACAGAAGGTATTTCAAGTGACCTGTTGCTTCAGAAGGTAAATAGTTTATTGTAATAGTTCCATTAGGTATAGCTGGGTGAGTACCAGAAGAATTGTGACCTTACCGATGCAGTAGCAGAGTATGATGGACAATAGGACGGACACTGCGACAGCACTGAGGGCCGTGCACCTCCACGAGCAGTACTTGGACGACTTCTTGAACTTGAAGGCGCTGCGGGAGAGTGTATTGCGGGGCAGTGGCCGTGTGGGGGGCGAATACACTGCCCCCGTTGCCATGGTGTAGCCCGGAGTTGCCGTGCTGAACAGAGGGGTCGTTCCTGTGCCTGTCTTAAAGAGGAAGTGCCTGAGAGAGTGAAAGAGAGAGAGAGAGAGAGAAACAGAGAGAGATAGAAAGACAGAGAGAGACATATAGCTTTTATTGTTCAGTCTTTTATATATATATATATATATATATATATATATATATATATATATATATATATATATATATATATATATTTAAAACCTACAGTTGTGTTCTGTTGTTTAATGTCTGTAATGTTGTATTTCATTTATTTATTTATATATGTCATGCTCTAACAAGGTTTAATGCCTTAAACTTTAAGGATCTGCATGTGGGTCCACACTTCAGTTCCTCACTCTCATAACAATAGAATTTACACATTAGTTTCACAGTAGCCGTTACTGAAAAATAAACCTGGATTAGGCTTAAAAGCAATATGATCTGTCAGGTCTGCAGGCTACTACCTGGAAATTTGATCCTAAATGCAGTGAATGGATGCTAACTGCTAATTATATAACTGCTTGCATAATGCTAACTAGCAGATATTTGCTTTCATTCATTGTTAGCAACATTAGCATTTTAACTTCACATATTTCTAAAATGCTCATTCAGCAGTTATATAATTAACTAATTATAAGCAAATGTACAGAAATGTATATGCTTCATTATATAAAGTAAAATGTATGTCTCAAACTGTAAAGTTAAGGGAAATTCCATTTTTATATCAAAAATGTCTGTATAATTCAATTTGTCATTCAGAATATCTTCATGTGAAGTTGTGCACTCATTGTACATAAAGATATTCCGATTCCTTGACAGTAGTTCACAACACGCTGTGAATGTTTAGCCAAACTGTTGTAAAACAGTGTCTTGGGCATCAGGCAACATATTTGTATGTAATAATTTTCTGTGAGCGGGCTTTAAGATTCATTTAACACTTCAAATGTCTGGATCCTATCATCATCAAGAATTCTGAAAGTTTCACGTCAAACGATTCAGAATGACTTCAAATTTTGAAAAATCAGTGGAATTCCCCTTTAAGCTTTATGTATCTATGTAATAATAGTGTCAAAATGCAATGCCATTTGAAATTGATCTGTCAAGGAGAATACTGTGCCAGAAAGACAGCAAAAATCAGCACCTCTCTTCTTTGCAATGTGTTCATTCTGTGTCAAAATATGTGTGTGATTTCTTATTGTACTTTGAATCTTGGTGTAAAATAACACCTGTGAGGTAAAAGTGGTAGGTCACTCAGATCATAAAGTTGTCATAACTGTCATAGAGCTCCTTTAAACCAAACATTTTCCAACACTTTGAGCAAAATCTGTGAATACTTGAATCTCACCACATTTTAGGGCAGATGCACAGTTAAGCAACAGTTTTCAATTCTCCAAAGCAGCAACGAGACAGTAATTCAAGCTGTGAAGTCAACTAACACTGAGCATCAAATTCAAATCCAATCAGTGACCTTACTGAACAAGCTCGTCTCATTTTAATAAACAATACTAGAGAGATGGAGAGAAGATGCAGTGGGAGGGGCAGGGTGGTGAGTGAGATGAGAGAAAACGAGAACAAGAAAAAGAGAGGAAGAATGAAAGAGGGAAAACAAAGAGATACAGAGAAGGGAAAAGAGAGAAAGAGGGAGGAAGAGAGAGAGAAGGGAGAGAGAAAGGGAGAAAGATGCAGAAAAGGGGGAGAGATGGAAGAGAAGAAAGACAGAGTGGGGGGTAAGGAAGAAAGAGAGAGACAAAGAGATTTATGCTCTGTATTGAGATGATACAGAAAGAGAGAGAGAAAGAGAGAGAGAGAGAGGAGAAGGGGGGAGACAGAGGGAAAAGGAGAAAGAGAGTGGGGATAAGGTAAAGAGAGACAGAGTTACACTGTATTGAGACAACAGAGAGAGAGAGAAGCAGAAGAAGGGGAGAAACAAAAGGAGGGGGAGAAAGAGTGCAATGGAAGGAAGTAAGAAAGAGAGAATGAGAGGGGGAGAAAAAGAGAGAGGAAGAGTGGGAAAGAGAGAGAGAGGTACACTCTGTATTGAGACAACAGTTGTTGCTATCTTTATGCAAGCCAAGGCTTACTAATCTAGCCAATCGGAGGGATGCTGCGGCCTGAGTTTCTTCATGCCCGAGTAATAATACAGTCCAAAGTGTAATCTTGTTACACCAGAATATCAATTAAAGTATGCATCAAATTAAAGAATTAAAGACATTTTAATGTTTGCTAAATTGATTTATGGAGAAACGGCAAATTAATTTGCGTAAGAGCGGATTTTCATAACACCTGTAATCATTCATAACCCTATCTCGGCTCTGCAAGCTTCACAGGAAGCAACTGCCAATCAATCATATCTCTAAAGCCCTGTTGGAACTGGATCAATTTAACTAGATGAGGCTGTGTAATGTAACATAGGATTTGATTGGCCGATTGGCTTGGGATAATGTGTGTGTATAATTTTGCTAAATTTCCATAGAGAGCCCAGATTTAAAGGCTTGCATGTTCAGGACAGCATTAGGCCACAGAACACACTCAGTAACAGTAACACCACCCCAGATGTCTATTAGCAGACGCATATTCATTTATTGATATGTGTATATCATGTAAAACATACCACCTTTGAAAAAAAGTGTGTTTTTATTGCAGATAAAGCTGTTATTCTTTTCAAATATTTTAAAATGTGTGTTATATATAAAACAGTTGGATACACGAAACATACACCATTTCTGGATGTGTGTGTGTGTGTGTGTGTGTGTGTGTATATACACTGATCAGGCATACCATTATGACCACCTCCTTGTTTCTACGCTCATTATCCATTTTATCAGCTCCACTTACTATATAGGTATATATATGTTAGGGGTGCGGGAAAAACTCGATTCTTAGGTGCATCGCGATGCGGACGTGAATGATTCTGAATCGATTTACAAATGTCAAAAATCGATTTTCTAAATATTTAATTTATAACGGAATGTTGACGGAATGCAAAAGGCGGAACTGGAAGTGCGGAAGTGCAGCGCCCGGATAGTCTGTGGCGGCACATAACAAAAACACAAGTGGATGAGTGAGAAATCTGACCAGCTCCCTCTGCATTAAAAGTCAGGTTAGGTCAGGAGTCACAGCACAAATGATAAGAAGAGACATTTTGCCTTTCAACAAAGTCAAACCACCTTGGGAGCCACAACATTTAATGTCCAGTATGTGTTAATGTCGTAGTATGGGCTAAAAATATAAACGAGAGCGCAGATTTACTTTGCTCTACCTTAAGCTTTAGCTATAGCCGCTTTCCTTCCATCTCCGCCAGAAAACGTTTCTTCAAAACTAGAAGAGTTTCTTGTAAAATGTCTCAGCATCCGGCTGTTTTACAAGGCTGAAGTCACTTCTCATTCGCCAGCTTCTCGTTCTAATTTTCCCGTTTCACCTTAAATTCTGCCTTAGGCACCGAATGTAATTGCTGCACCATTTAAGGTGGAACGGGAAAATTCGAAAGAGAAGCGAATTCATTTCCGCAACTTTTTAGAGAAAGACTCTCGTTGCAGATTTAACCAACCGCGCTGCTTATAAGTCCTCCAAATGTTCGTCTTAATCTGTTTTTTCGTTCGCTACTGGCGAGGCCAGACCTCGGTGCTATGTGACCTGCTGTCTGCTGTCTGTTCTCGGTCGTTGAGAACCAGGGCTTTCGTGCTATGCTGCACACTTTGGAGCTGAGATTCAGCGTCCAGCCTTGAAAATACCCCCCAGTGCATTTACATTATGGATCATTACAAATACTTTGCTTTAAAACTACCAAGTCCTCAGACAGTAGGAAGATAGAAAAAAGATGCATCAAGATGCATCGATAATCGTTTTATAATCGCATTGCAGCCCTCTGAATCGTAATCGAATCAAATCGTGAGGTGCCTAAAGATTCCCACCCCTAATATGTATATATATATATATATATATATATAGTTCTACAATTATAGACTGTGGTCCATCTGTTTCTCTGCATACTTTGTTAGCCCCCTTTCACCCTGTTCTTCAGTGGTCAGGACCCCCATGGACCCTCACAGGTACTATTTGGGTGGTGGATCATTCTCAGCACTGCAGTAACACTGATGTGGTGGTGGTGTGTTAGTGTGTGTTGCCCTGGTCTGAGTGGATCAGACACAGAAGAGCTGCTGGAGTTTTTAAACACCCCAGTGTCACTGCTGGACTGAGAATAGTCCACCAACCAAAAATATCCAGCCAACAGCATCCTGTGGGCAGCATCCTTTGACCACTGATGAAGGACTAGAGGATGACCAACACAAAGTGTAAAGCAGCAGATGAGCTATCGTCTCTGACTACAAGGTGGACTGACAACGTAGGAGTGCCTAATAAAGCAGACAGTGAGTGGACACAGTGTTTAAAAACTCCAGGGGGCTAACAAAGTATGCAGAGAAACAGATGGACTACAGTCTGTAATTGTAGAACTACAAAGTGCACCTATAATGTTATGCCTGATCGGTGTATATACACACACACACTCACCAAGCACTTTATTAGGAACACTGCCTTGAATTCCTTCCTTGAATATTCAGTGTCTATGTTATCAGCTCCACTTACCATACAGAAGCACTTCGTCCCAACAGGACCATCACCGAGCAGGTACTACATGGGTGGCTATGTGGTGGTCCTGTGGGGCTCCTGACCATTGAAGAACAGGGTGAAAGGGGGCTAACAGAGTATGCAGAGAAACAGATGGACTACAGTCTGTAACTGTAGAGCTACAAAGTGCTCCTATATAGTAAGTGGAGCTGATAAAATGGACAATGAGCGTAGATACAAAGAAGTGTTCCTAATAAAGTGCTCAGTGAATGTATATAAGGTAATATTAATCTAAAAGGGCTTTAGTGATTTAAAACTATCAGCTGTATGGAGAGGGGTTTGGGCGAGCAAGAGATTGAGATGTTTAAGTGAGGCAGGGGGTCTCTACAGGGCACATTTCGGGTAGTTTTTTGGCTCAGTGTTGAGCTTGGCATCAGCAGCTGGCACTGTGGGAAGACTGGTGGGCACGTACCCGTCTCCATAGCTGCCCTCCT